CCTTCCCCCCCGCCCTCGCCCCCTCCATACCCTCCGGCGATTTGGGATTCGTTTTTTTCCTGGGGGTACCCCGCTTCCCATTCTTGCCGTTGCTACCCCGCGAACCGTCGCCGGTAGGGCTACCCTCATGGCCGCCGACGTCCTTGCTACCGCCTGGGAGGGAGAACATGCCTTCAAAGACTTCCATGAACTCCTCCGCATCCAAGAGTCGGCAGGCCACTGTCCGAAGTACCTGTACAGATACTTCATCCTCCCCCCCCTCCCCCCCTCCTTCCCCTTCTTCCTCCGCCTCAACAAGGACTTGGAAGACGGACTCCCACCACCGCAGCCGTTCCTCCCCTGGCAAACAGTCTTTAGCCCATTCCGAAGACGCCTGCTCCAAGGTCAGAACGAGGCTGGGGCTCAAAGCCGGGCCGTGATCCAAGAGAGGGAGGAGGGAGGGAAGGAGGGTAAATCCCCTCTTGCGGCCTCGGAGCTCGTTGAAGAGGAGGGACCGCAGGAGGTCAACCACGCCCTGGGGGAGGCCTGGGGAGGGCAAGGTTGAGGGCAGGGGGGAGGAAGGGGCATGGAGCAATTGCTGCAGCACCAAACTCCGGGCGCGTTGCCTGACCTCGCTTTCTTCCACCCTGTCCTCTTCCTCCCCGCCCTGCTCGATCCGATCCACCAGGGTGCGGAGGGAGGGAAGGAGGGCCAGGGAGGGCACCCACGGCTCGCGGAAAAGCATGGTCATCAACACTTGCCCCACATGGCTGAAAGGCGTCTTTTCCCGTAGCAAGTGCGCCAAAAGCAGGCCTGAAAGCGGACTGGTCGAGGAGGAGGGTGGACAGGAGGTAGAGGGGGAGGTTGAGCCGGTCATCCCACTCTCTCGCAGGGCTTTTCGCAGCGCGGGCAGGGCATTGCGCGCATCCAGCAGGAAAAATGCCGCCTCCCTATTCAGTGCCGCCATGAACCTCTGCAAGCAAATCCTTTCCTCCTCCTCCACCGCAGCGGCCCACCACAGTCGCCCCTCTCCTTCCTCCCCCTCCACCCCGATTGCATCGGCGTCCTCCCTGCCCCCCCCTCGCGTATCCCCCTCCGAGGGCCTGTCCGTCGTAGACCCTGTCGACCTGCGTCTTGCGGGCCC